GATACTGCCTTCCCCACCCCATGGCGCTCCCTGCCAGTTCCACCCATTCTCAGTTGTCAGAGGGCCATGCATTTGGGAGAAATTCCAGGGCTGGTCCAGGCAGCCCCAGCTACCAGGTCCTGTTGCTGCTTTCTCTGTTGTCTATGAAGTCTGGCCACTTTCCTCCACCCCTGTGCCCGATGCCCAGTCTGGCAAAGGCCATCTCTCCCCAGGACAATTACGTGAGCCTCTTCACTGCTTACCTGATCTCCTGTATGATTCTCTGCTATTCATCCACTTTGTGGCAAGAATGATTTCCCTAAATCACAGGTCAAATCATGTGGTTCCCCTGCTTTCAGAGGCTTCCCATTCCCTTCCAGTCTGAACAGCTTGATGTAGTTAGAGAATTTCTCAAAGTTTATATGGAAAGAGGAGTTTAAAACAGCCTGAGGAGCTTAAAATGCAGGCTATGGTTTAATAAATCTGGAATGAGGCCCACAATTCTGCCTTTCTAATAAGCTCCAGGGGATGCCAAGCTGCTGCTCACTCTGAGGGTAAAGGAATTGGAGGGGCTTTGTTTGGTTTCCTTGTCTCATCTTTTGCCACCTCTGATTCTGCCTAGCCATGCTAAGCTTTCTTGAGCTCCCAAAATTCAACTTGTTCTTGCTCACTGCAAAGTTGTTTGCTTATGCTATTCATTTTCCTTAGAATACTCTTTTACCCTAGTCTGGCTGACCTACTCCTTGAAATCCGTAGGTTGTAGAGGTCACCTCCTCATGGAACCCTCCTTTGATTCTTCTAGCTCAGGAAACAAAGCATCAAGCCTGTCTGTGACCCGGCAGTGGTAGGAAATGCGCGTACGATGGTAATCTGTTATGCTAAGTGGCAAGGTCAGAGGGCCCAAAGGGCTGACTGTGAGGGACATGGCAGCAGCCAAAGGGTAGGGAAGCTGCGTCCTCCTAGAGAAAGCTCTGTGAAGAAGGATTTTGTGTCAACTGGGAAATCTGTCTGTGAGGTGCTGTCGTTGATGCCCCAACTACTCCACTGTGCAGTTCTTGGCTGAGCAGAAAGTTATTAAGGTAAGGACACTGTCTTCCCAGAAGCTTTGAAACAGGGTGAGCCTAAGAACCATGTCCATTTCCTATTCAAGCAAAAGTTATGTTAGAGTGACCAAGGTCATTAAGAAGGTGAAAACTTTTTTTTTTCAGAAAGTTCTTTTCCGACTGCAGCTGAGGGGAGCCTTGTGGAGACATTTCTATATTGTAGAAATGTTTCATTTCTTCCCTTACTTTTCTCCTCCTAAGAAATTATTTTTCTCTGGGTGTCCTTTCATTTCTTTTTCCCTTTCTCTCAGCTTATATGTTCACTTGGCCCTTTTACATCAGTTTGAGTCAGAATGAAATTATTTCCTAAGCAGGTTGGAAGCCTGGTATTCCTTAGCTAGAGAAGTCTTGGATTTTGCTAGAATACTCCTGCCAGGATTCCAGCACCAGCTGCTCTTAGCCCTTAGGAGAGCTGGGAATGGAATCTGAAACATGTGACATTGGGTGGTCACAATGTACTGGTCAGACCTAGTTAGCCATGTGATCTCAGCTTGGGTAGGAACAGTGCCAGCTAAGTCTGGAAAAAGTAGGACAACATTAGTTACAGAGCAAATAAGTTTAGTCACCCAATAAGAAAGCCAAGGATCTACTGAAAAGCATGTGATATGAGGAGAAATCTAATGGCACTGTACTTTGCTACAATGAAAAAACCTTTCCTCCCTTTATAAGACACCAAATGGTTCTTCCATTCTGGGTCTTCTTTTCTCTTAAAGGGAACGTCCAGGAGAAAACTCTCCTCTCGTCCTCTCCCCTACCCTCCTGAGACATTTCCATTTGTTTTGCAGTGTCATAGTCAACAGTTGGTCTGTTTAAAACAGATAACAACTGTAGTTTACTGGACTGCAAGTTTAGTGAGCTGTCTTGTTTATTCAGTATGTAGAAGTGTGCTGTAAGAAGGTAAATAACAAAGTAGGAAAACTTGAGCAATAAATTATTTTCTTCTGTAATAAGTCATACTGTTTGCTTTAAGAGAAATTTATAGGAAAGGGCTTGATAAATATGGATGAATAGAATTCATGTGAAGGGGAAAACGAGCAAAGGGATACAATTAAAACAACTATTACTAATCTTAAACTGACTTTGAATCAATATTTATAAGGTCTGAAAATGAGTAGCTCAATTCTAAAATTACATTTTCACCTCAGTCTCTTTCTTTGGCTGCCCTCTGGTGGACAGAATAGTGAACAGAAAATTTAACAAAAGCTGGGTAGGAAAAAGCAGAAGCCCAAGCAGGCAGCAAAGATAAACTCTCCTGCATATCTAGAGACCTCTATATCATTGACCTCTTATCTTTGTGATAATCCTGTAAGATAAATAATAATACCCTCCTTTAAACATCAAGCTAATAGTTTCAAAATATGCAACTAATGCATCAATTTAACTCCACAGGGAAGATGCATTTCACTGGGGAAGTGTCCGTGCCTAATCATTCAGTTGATCCCAAGTCTGCAAGAAGTTTTGTAGTTCATTATTTTTTATAGTTTGTGTTATAAGATCAAGAAACATGAAAGCATTTTATATAATTTAAGGATCCACTACCCACATGTTCTCTGGCATCCAGGATTACTGAGGGTATTAAATGAGTTAATGGATACTGAATGCTCAGAACATTGCCTGATCATAGTAGATGATCAGTAAATCCAACAGATGATGATAAACAGAGAACCAGCCTGAGAGAAAAAATGACAAAGAAGGTAAAGCAAAAGGACTCTGAGCCCTGCTAGCTTCTTAAACTGACCTTGCCATTCATCCTGTAGATTGAGGCATTACTGGACATTTTAGTAACATGTGCTCATAAATTCCTTCTAGTATTTAAACCTGGTGAGTTTTTGTTATTTCCCCCAGTGCTGAATTCCTTCCTGTCTTAACAGTTGAGTCATTTCTTTTTTTCAGAGTTGTAGGCACAAAAGGTTGGACTACACCCCATTTCCCAGAAAATGGAGCTGGTACCTACCCACTCCCCTAAGGTGACAGCTTTCATGGGCTCCAGGAACCCTATCTAAACCCATCAGTTGGGAACTTCCTATACTCAGAGGTGATTTACTCTTCTATGGCAGTTGCCCAGATGATTTCTGAGAAGATTGAACCCAAATTTTGTTGAAGAGGAAACAGGAATGAACTAAACAATGAGAAGTTGGTTTACTTAAGGGAAATGCAAATTAGAAACAATAGAATACCATTTCAACTCACTAAATAGGTAACAATGTAAAAGTCTTGAAAAATTCTAAATATCAACAGTTTGTGGAACCAAGGGAACTTCTAGCAGGGTATAAATTGAACAGTCTATAAAACATAATGTAAAAATTGGTCTCATTATGCAAAGCTGAAAATATTTATATCCTACATAGCAGTAATATTACTATTGACTGGAATGCAAGAGGAACTTGTAGACACGTGCCCTGTAAGATATGTGCAAGCACGTTTGGTGCTGCATTGCTGGTAATAGCAAAAGACCAAAAATAATCCCCACATCCATGCACAAGACAATAAAAAACCAAAATGTGACATACAGCATTTACGTAATGCATCCTTAGGTGAATGAATTACAGATGCATGCAGATGTTAATATAATGTGGATACTTATAAAAACCATAGCTTTGAGGCCAAGGATTTAGCTCAGTGGTACCACCACCAGCCTCGAAAGCACAAGGTTCTGAATTCGATCCCCCATACCCATAACAAACAAAAAACCACACACACACACACACAACAAACCCAAACAAACAAAAAACCCACAGCTCTGAGTAAAGAAGGGTACTTGCATAATACGCACTAAATATTATAAACCTTTAGAAATATGTTAGATCATTGTTTAGGAATTATTTAGGGGTATACAGAGGTAGAAAAGCACAGAAATGATAAATATAAAATCTGAAGATATCCCTAGGAGGAAAAGGGGACCATTCAGATGGGTGCCCAAGAGTTGTGTATAATGACCAGGTCCTAATTCAGTGGTGGTTATATATGTTTGTTTTCATATTTACATTTTATGCTCTATTGTTTTGTATGCATGAAAAGTTGTTTTTTTTAACCGTGGCAAGGTGTATACACAAATTTTAGCATTTTAACCATCTTCAAGAGTACGTTTCTATGGTATTAAAGGCATTCATCTTGTCATCTACAGCTACCTATGGCTAGAACTTTAGCATCATTCCAAGCTATGTGTTTAATTTCAGTCAAGGAATCATTACCAAGTCCAATGTCATGAAGACTTTGCCCTGTTTTCTCTGAGTTTTATAATTTTAGCTCTTACATTTAGGCCTTTTTGTCTGTTTTGAGTTAATTTTCTTATAGGGTGTAAAGTAAAGGTTCAATTTAATTCTTTTGGATTAGTATTTTGTTTTGTTTTTGTATTTTAAGACGGTGTCTCGCTAAGTCGCCCAGGATGGGCTTGAACTTGTGATCCTTCTCCTGCCTCAGCCTTACATGTTTCTCGTTTACAAATAAAGACTCTGGAACAGGGGTAAAAAATAACATGCCTGGCTCACACAATTTAAAAGAACCAGAGAGATAAAAGCCGGAATCCAGTGTATTTAGCACTCTATTGCACTTGACAACTAAGCCGGAACTTTATAATATCCGGGCACCTGGGGCTAAGAGGTCTCTATTACTGGATCCAGCCCCGCCACTCTCCTACTTGAGTTTTCACCTTTCCCCGCCCACGCAGCCTCGGAGTTTTGGCGCTCTAAAAACCTGGGGCGGATATCAGGCGGGAGGAAAAGTCCTGTCAGTGGCTGATGGCAAGCCGTGGACTCCGCTCCACTGTGGCGCTCAAACAGGTCCGGGTTTTCTTTCACGCTCCAGGGCTGGGAGGAGCCCAGGGATGGCCCAGAAAAGAGGCGGGGTGTGTGGGTGGGGGAAGCGCGCTGCGTAGTAGGCTCTGATTGGCTGCTGTGAGCAGCGCGGGGTTTGGCGGGAGTTTCGTAGCCTGACGGGGCGGAAAGCCGAGCGATGTCTCTGCGGTGGCGTTTACGGTCCCCTGGGCGTGCGGGGTAAGTGCTCCTCACCCTCGGAACGCCGGGCCAGGATCAACTTCCTCTTCTGCCTGCCGCAATCCGAGCCTCTCGGAGCTGTTGTAAGGGGAGTAGTAACAGTGCTGCGGGGTTAGCCTGGGGATTACGGCACAGGGAAGGACCTCAGCCAGTGTTAGCATTGCGCTCTGCATAAGTCTCAGAATAGCTTGAAACAAAGTATTGTGCAAATTCTGAGTTGAGCGCTTTCTGATTGCCAGGCTTTACAATTTAGAGAAGTTTACACTGGCTGCTCGTCAACATTCTTACTTTCAAGACCCCGTTGTCGTGTTTTTGTTTTCTGTACTAGAAACCACCGACCGGAAAGCTGGACCCCATCTCTGTCTGGGGGTGCAGTGGGCGTTGACCAGTGCCGGGCTGGCAGTGTCTGAAGCGTAGCCAGGGCGTGGCGTGTGCATTCCCGGAAAAGTCCGGGTGCCAAGGCCATCAGGCCACACCCCCGGCTTAGGAAGACTAGAATTTCTTCTGGCCCTGGGAACACTGCCTGGAGAAGGCCTTGCTTGGTGTTTATGGATATCGGGTGAGGGTGGAGGGCTAGAGCAGGACACAGCGAGAGGTGGGGCACAGGCTAGACCTGTGGCCGGACAGTGGGTAAGGATGGGAAAAGAATGGAACAGCCTTGTGGGTCAGCTGAGGAAGGTTAAACTTTATCTGATGGGCCAGTGGTTTTTGTTGTCTTTAAGTTTTCTTTTACATTATTGGATTTGAGACTTGAAATGTTTGCATCCTTTCCCCCTAAAATGCACTGGTGCACATACAGCAACATTATACATACGTTTTATCATAGAAGTTTCCATCTTTTGGAAGCCTCACCTGGACTCCATTTAAGGCAGGAAAGATTGTTGACCTTTTTTTTCTTTTTCTTTTCTTTTCTTTTTTTTTTTTTTTTTAGCACAGACA